CTCCTTCTCCTCCTCCTCCTCCTCCTCCTCCTCCCCCCCCCTCGGTTATCGCCGATTCCCCAAAAACGGTCTCCTGGCTTGTTTCGGATTGTTGTCGCTTCTGTCTGTGTACCCAGGCCCCCTCCCAGACACGATCGCGTCGTATAGAACGATCAGGACGGGAGGTTCTTGGCAACGCTCGGCCTTCTGTGGTCCTCGCCGGGCCTCGGGGCCGCCCCGCTCGGGATGAAATGCCGGTCCCGGGGAAAGGGTCGGGACTTCCAAGGACCCCCGCATGGAAAAAACAAGGATAGTCTTTTGTTTGTTTCGGTTTGATGGGCCGGCCCCCCACCACCACCACCATCAGTTGGAGGAGGAGGGGGTCCTCCTCCTCCTCGTCAACCTCCTCCTTTTCCTCCTCCTCCTCCTCGTCGTCGTCGTCCTCCTCCTCCTCCTCCTCCTCCACCTCCTTCCCCCCCCGGAAAACGGGCCCATCATGGTTTGTTGTTGTTTCTGTTTTGTGTGCCCAGACCCCCGGCGTTGTGACAAACATCACGACGGGAAGCCCTGCGCTGTTTTTTGCCCCTGGGGGGCCAACAGAGCGATTCGGGGACGTCACAGAGCGACTCGGGATGAGCACCGGTCCCGCGGAAAGGGTTCATACCTCGTTGTGAACAAATCACGGCGTCGGGGATCGGTGTGTATATGTGTATATATATATATAGAGTTGTGAGTATGTATGTGTATGGGCTCCGATCAGATGGGGCTGGAGGATCGCGCCGCATCGCCGATGCATTGGCGATGCGGCTCGATGTGGAGCATGGTTTTCTCCGCGCCGACGTCGCCGACGTCGCCAGTGCATCGCCGACGTCACCGATGCATAACCGATGCACCAGTGATGCATCGACCATTCAGCACGCTTTTCCGACCCCATCTACTCCGATCCTATCTTGGAGGCCTCAAGGTTTTGGTTCAGGCAAACAGCGTTTTTGGCTATTATCTGTTCCCACTGGCGCATCTAAGTCTGATAGGATGTCTACAGCTCTGCGTGTGATTCTCGAGGGCAGCATGTCGTACTGGTGATACGCCCATTCCAAGACAGCCCAAGAGGCTCCGAATATCGCCCCAAGTCAGCTTCAAGACAACTCAAGAGGGCTCCAAGATGGACCAAAACGCCCCGAAAGCGGCCCAAGAGGGCGGAAGGGCCCAGAAGGGGGCCCAGAAGGGGAACACGCACCGGCATCTCGAGCCCTCCACCCCAAGAGGACCCCCGAGACCGCCAGCAGGCCCTCCCACGAAGCGGCATTCTGCCCCCCCCAGCCTTTTCAAACAATGCTCCCTCATATCCGGGCGTTACAGTCAACCCGCATACGAGGGATGGGCAACCTTTCCAAGGGTACCCTTGCATCCTTGCCTCCTCGGACCATCCTTGGCCGCTTTCGCTGGCCGCACCCCGCCCACAAAGTGCCGACATGGCCTTCCAAGGCCCTTGCATTCATCCGTACCGCGCATCCTTATGATACGGGTTGACTGCACAGATGGATCCGCCGCGAAAGATGGTGCAGGATCCCGTAGTGCCGCATCCCAGGGTCCGCCGCCATTTCAAACGTCGCTCGGTAACAAACACTGGACAAGTGAGTCCCGACTTGCGTGAAAGTCTAGACCTCCTCTAGGGCCTCGCCATTCCCACACCCCTTCCCTTGAGATCCGACGCCTCGAAAGAGCGTGCCACGCCGCGAGAAATCAGGTCCGAAGCCCAGGACCACATTTTTTCTGCGCCATCGTCCGAGGCGGATCGATCTGTGAGGGTCCCCGGCGCCCGAGACCGGGCGAAAACGCCCGGCTCGAAAAAGTGGAGGCGCTGGGATCGCAGGGCTCATGCGAGTAAATCTGGGCCTCCCGGACGGGGTCGGGGCAGATGGGGTCGGAGGACCGCGCCGCGGCTCGATGTGGAGCCCGACGTTTTCCACGCCAGCGTCGCCGATGCATCGCCGTCGCGTCGCCGTCGCGTCGCCGATGCGTCGGAGATGCATTGGCGACAGGGCGCGATCCTGCGACCCCATCTACGGTAGGTTCGCGTCGTGTCGACCAGCGGCGACCCCGACGCCGGCGTTCAACGTTGAACGCCGCCGGAGGCCCAGAATCGGTCGACGTTGAACGATCGGACGTTGCTGAAACGGCCGATCGTTCAAGGTTGAACGATCCCCGCGGGGTCAGAAACCAACGCCGGGGTCGACACGACACGAACCTGCTGTACTCGGACCCCATCTGGGAGGCCTCTGTTGAGCTCTCCAGAGTCTGGAGAAAGGCTGCGCCCAGGGGACGCCGAGCCGCCGGCGCTGCGCCGCCCGGCGGCGGGCGGGGCGGGCCTGGAGCCGCGCGGGTCCGCGCGCGTCCCAGCGGAACCAGACGGGCTCGTCCGGTGGCAAACAGTGGGGGCCTCTGTATACGGTAGGGTTGCGTCGTGTCGACCAGCGGCGACCCCAGCGCGGGCGTTCAAGGTTGAACGCCGTCGGCGACCCAGAATCGATCGATGTTGAACGATCGGTCGTTGCGGCAGCGGCCGATCGTTCAAGGTTGAACGATCCCTGCGGTGTCAAAAACCAACGCTGGGGTCGGCACGACACGAACCTGCCGTACCCTCGCTTCTCCGTTTGTGTGTTGTGCATGCGCGTCGACTAGCGCCTGGTAGCGATGCGGAGGCGTCGACTTAGCGTCGGCTCAGCAACGATTAGCTTCGATTCGCGTCGATCAGCGTCGACTCGCAAGAGCCAACAGACGGGGCTAGACAAGGATAAATCCGTTAGAAGCGCTCCGGAACCCTCTCAGAGCGTTCGGGAACGCTCTAAGAAGGACGCGGCGCCCGAGACATCTTCCAGAGCCGCCGGATCTCAGAGATTCTCGAGTTAGCCTCACCCGAATCTATCTTCGTCCTGGCTTCGTCTTTCTGGTTGACCCCAAAGGGGGGTCCAGCTACAAGTGGTGGTGCAATAGATCTGGTGCAGCAGATTTGTGGGCTGCAACATATTTGTGGTGTGCTATACATTCCGGGGCGCAGATGTATGGCTGCATTTTCGCGTGCATTGCACTAGTTGCCAATGCAACACAGAAATATGCCCATCCATGAAACGATGCCCATGAGAGCTGACGGGGGAGAGAGGAAGAGACACGCATAGTCAAAGTATGTTGGCTTCTTGGCGGCCTCCTGGGGAGGCTCCGTGGCCATCTTGAGCCGTCTTGGAGCGGTCTTGGGGCCTCTTCGAGCATCTTGGGAGCCATCTTGAGCCAGGTTGGGCTATCTTGAGCCATCTTTGAAGTCATCTTGGGCTCTCTGAGGCCGCTCGGGGGCCTCTTGGGTGCCTCTCGGGTGCCCTCTTGGAGGCCTCTTGGGGCTTCTTGGGGCGCTCTTGGAGCTCTCTTCGGGGCCTCTTGGGAGCCCTCGGGGTGCCTCTGGGGGCCACCTTGGAGGCGGTCGGTCAAAAGAGGGGGGTACTAAATGTAGCTCCCCTCTCAGGGGCCACAATCCTCGTGAGGGGTGTCAATAATTGACCCTCCCAGGGGCCGAAAAATGACCCTCTGACACATCGGTCCCCTTCCCCAGAAAACCCAGGGAGGAGAGGGGGAGGGTTCCCCTCCCCGAAGGGAAGAGGGGTTGTGGAAGAGGAAGGAGACCCTCCTTAGACCACCTGTCGCCGTCGCCCAAAGGGCTGGTTGGATTCTCTTGCGCAGTACATCTGCAATACAAGTGCCCCAGATCTGCTGCACCACCTTTCAGCTGGACCCCCTCTTGGGCCAACCAAAGTCTTAGGCCCCCCATGACCCAAAGATCCGATGGCGTGATTTTCCCTACGCGGGGTCCCTGGAAGGCTCGGACCAGTCCCAAGGACCAGTTTTTCATCCCCAGCCGTTTTGTTGACGGTCCCGAGGCCCCGCAAGGGCCTTTAGAGAGGCCGGAAACTGCGAACAACCTTTGTAATGATGTTGTTCAGCACGTTGGATCTTTGGGGAGTTGCCGCAGAAACCCGAGGCCGGTACGGAGGCCGCGCGCCCACGAGCGCAGCTGCGGCGCCGGCCGGCCCGAGGCGGAGGACCTCCGCGGGCACCCCGCCGGGCAAGCAGCGCCGCGCGGGGTGGGCGGGCCCTCGACGCCGCGCGGCTCCTCGCCGCGCGCGCAGGGCTGCGGCTGGCGCGCGGGGCGCGCGCCTGGGGCCGAGCATCGGAGAAGGAAAAGTGGCATGCAGTCGGCCCGTATCCCAGACCCTTCGCGCTATGAAAGAATCACGACGGGAGGTTTTTCGCCATTTTCGGCCTTTGGCGGGCCTTACCGACCCTCGGGACCGTCAACAAAAATCGACTCAGGAGGAAAAACTAGTCCCGGGGAACGTGTCGAGACCCCTGGGGGTCGACGTCATGAAAGAATCATGACGTTGGAGGGTTGGGATCATAAGGATGCGCGATGAGGATGCAAGGGCCTTGGAAGGCCATTTCGAAGCTTTTCGAGCGGAGCGCGGCCAACGAAAGTGGCCAAGGGCGGACCGAGGAGGCAAGGATGCAGGGGCACCCTTGGGAAGGATGCCCATCCTTATTCGACTGCAAGCATCTAACATTTTGGAGCTCTGCTCGGATTTCTCGGGCCTGCGCCGGGCACCCCTGGCGGCGCCTCTGGCGCCGCCCCTGGCGCGCTCCGCGCGCCAGGGAGGGGTGTCCAGCGCAGATCCAAGAAATCCGAGCGGAGCTCCAAAAGTTGAGGCTTACATGTGTAACGTTTTCTTCCTCCAGAGCATGAGTTCGCGGCAGAGCCCACTGTGCTGCTCCCCCTGCGCTTCGGCGAGATGATGAGCGCGCTACGGCGGATCTCCGACGAAGGCGTCTATACACCACCACCGTGCCAGGCCAGGGCCATCCTGGGCCCTAGGATGGTGTACAGACCCTCCTGATTTCGGCCAGGACGTATACACCATGCCAGGGCCAGGATGGCCCTGGCTTGGCACGGAGGTGGTGCATAGATGCCTTCTGCGCAGGATCGGCCTCGATGCCAGCGCCAGCGAGGGCGAGGGCGACCGCCTGGTCTTCGTGCCCATCCGCTGCGGGGAGGCCGTGGCCGCTCTGGAGGACGCGCTGGACGCCATGAGCAGCAGCCACGGCTGCCCTCGGACCGCCTCGAGCTCCACGCTGAGCAGCCGCCAGGCTGCGCGGGGCGCTGGAGCCTCTCCGCGAGGAGCAAGTCGGGCCTGTCCCTCTACAGGAGGAACATAAAAAAATAGCCCAAACATTGTCCAGGGACGATTTTTCGACTACTTTTTTTTTTTTGTTTTTCATTATTTTGGCACATGTTTTATTTTTCGTCCAAATTCCGCCTGTAGGAGGACATGCCCGACCTAACGCGAGGAGGCGATCTCCCCGTGTTCGGGCGCGACCCCGCCGCGGGTGGTGCCAGGCAGCCAGGGGCGCCCGACGAGGGCGGCGCGGCCTCCGGAGGCAGGCCCGGCAGCGGTGACGGCCCATCCCCCGCGGGGGCGGCGGCTACACGTCAGAGTCGATGTCTGTTGCTGGGGGCCTCGGGAGGCGACACTGAAATCAGCTTTGCCTGCGTTTGGACCGCCTTTTGGCCCTGTCTCCTGCTCCTTCTCGCCCTCCCTGATCCTCCTCCCCCTCGTTCTTCTTTTCGGGGGCGGAAAAGAGGGGGGTGATGACTAGGGGGGGGTGGATATCATGGCGGGGGGCATGATATTTCTCCAGATTTCATGGCGCCCCTTCTTATTTCATTACGTCCCTGGCCCCCCCGCTGGGCCGCGCACATGCCGCCGGTCATGATTTGCACCCCCCCCTCTTGGACACCCCCCTCTTGGCCGCTCCCGATCTTTTCGTCTTCCTCGTGAGCGGCGAATCCGGTCCAAATCCGGTGCCAAATGTGCTCCAAATCTGGCCCAAATCCAGCCCAAGTCGGGCAGCGCCAGGGGCCACGCAGGCTCCCATGGAACAGACACCAAGGGATGCACCTTTCGTTGAAGCGATTTTTGGTGCGGGATGGCTGGGCCCCAGCGGTGCCTTGGGCCGTCTCGTGGGCCGTTTCGTGTTTCGTTCTCTTTGCATTCGAGACGGGGCGAAGGCAAAACGAGGCAGAACGAAACACAAGACGGCAACGGAAAACAGCGCTCAGGTGCAACCCTGCGCCGGGGCCCCCACAGATTCGGCCGAGTGCGACGCGGCAGCAGCGGCTTGCGCTCTCGGGCTTGGCCTTTCCGCGCCCGCCGAAAGCCGCGCACCACGGGCCACCCTTGCCCAGGGTCACTCCTGCGTGCAGCCGAATGAGCAAGAGGCTCCCCCTCCTCCTCCTCCTCCTCCTCCTCCTCCTCCTCCTCCTCCTCCTCCTCTTCCTCCTCCTCCTCCTTGCGTGCCTGGGGTTACTCGATTGCATGCCGCAGAGAAGGTTTTTCGGGAGCCACATCCACAGCCACAGGTCCCCTCGTAAAGGGGGCGAATCTTCTCGAGACCGGCAGTGACCCCGACCCTCTTGTAGTCAGGGTGGAGACATGTGCCCAATCTCTCGGGGGTGGACAGAACCCCCAACAGTGACACGTCGATTAGTGAATTGTCCGTTTTCGGTTCTCGAGAGGGCGCCGTGGCCGTTATTTTCCAGGCCTGCGTCCGCCAGGTTTGGGCCTCAAGTGGTTTTCACTAAACCACGTTTTACTAAAGGGAGGTCTGTCCATCCCCGAATCTCGTCCGAACTGAACTGCGAGGTGGCGGCCTGGCAAGGCACAGCTTCGTAAGCCGCCTCGTTCGACGTCCAGTCGTGTGCGCGGCACAGACCTGGCAGACACAAGCGAAACGTAAACGTTCGAAGGTCCAAGCTGATTTCTTGGATCCGCGCTGGGACCCCACCCCCCTGGCGGCGCCCCCGGCGCCGCCCCTGGCGCGCCCCGCGCGCCAGGGAGGGGTTTCCAGCGCAGATCCCAGAGATCCGCGCGGAGCGCCGAAAGTTCGCGTTTATGAAAATTGATTGTTCCTCGATGTCACTGAAATTCGGCGGCGAGCGAAGGGGGGAAGTTAGAAGGAGAAGGCCTTCTCAAAGGGTTCAGACGCCCCCCAGCCTCCGGAGCAGCTTTCTAAACCCTCCCCAGAGACTAACAAAAAGACTTCTCCGAAGGCGCGAGGGCTTCTGAGAAGTCTCGCCGCCTTCTGAGAAGGCCTTCTCAGTCTCGTTTCCCCCCCCCCTCGCCCGCTCCCCCCCCCGCCTCGCCGCTTCTCTCCCTCCCTCCTCCTCCTGCCTTCCATCCCTCCGCCCGCCCTCCCTCCCTCCCTCCTGCTTCTCCTTCTCCTTTCTGCCTCGCCCTTCTCGCTCCCCCCCCCCCCTCCTTCTCCTTCTCGCTCCCCCCCCCTTCTCCTTCTCCTAAGTTCCTCGCTCCCCCCCCCCCGCTCGCCGCCGAGAGATCCGCCGCGAGGCGGCGACGTGGCCGGCGGCGGCGGGCCACCAGGCCTGCCCGCGCCCAGCCCTCCGCGCGGGTGGCCCGCGGCGGCTTCACCGGCGGGCGGCCCGCACGGCCGCGCGGCCGCCCGCGCGGAGGCCTCGTCGTCGCCGTCGCCGTCGCCGTCGGCGTCGTCGCCGTCGCCGTCGCCGTCGTCACCGTCGTCGTCGTCGTCGTCGTCGTCGTCGTCGTCGTCGTCGTCGTGGTGGACGACATCTGGAGTTTCGAGCAAATCGGGGGGGGCGGAGGTTTTGCAGTGATTTCGGCCCCTGGGGGCCCTTGCCGGGCCTCGGGACCGTCAACAAAAGACTCGGGAGGAGAAGCTCGTCCCGGGGAAGTGGTCGAGAGGTGGGGGGGCCCGTGTCCTGAAGAAGTCGGGGCGCCGGACGCCGGGACTTGTATACCGATGTTTGATCCCCTGGCGATAATCGCTGGGCAGTCGAAGGCCAGACTTTCAGATTGGATTGGGCCCCAAGGGCCAATCTGGCCCAGCCAAGCTGGACGATTTGGGGGATTCGCCAGACTGGATTCGCGTTGGCTCCCTCGCCAGATTGCCCCCGTTTGCCAGATTGGGCCTGCCAGGTTGGCGCCAGATTGGCTTCGACTACCCAGACATGGATACCGATGTTTGATCCCCTGGCGATAATCGGCGCTCCGTGCGGACTTCTTGGATCCACGCTGGGCCCCACCCGGCGCGGCGCCTCGCGCGCCGCCCCCGGCGCTCCGCCCGCCAGGGAGGGGGGCTCAGCGCAGGTCCAAGGGAAGGGGCTGGTCACGTCACGAGTCGCGCCGCCGCCGTCCAGGAGCGCGTAGCAAATCGAGAGACGCACAGGGAAAAAAAATCGTCGAGATGATCGTCAAGAAAACAACAGCTTCTGTGAGAAGATTGTCGTGCGTAGGCCTTCGGAGCCACTCCTTCTTTGAGTTTTTGTTCTCAATCTTATCCTCGGCCGTGCTTTGCTTCCTGGGCTTTCAGGCTGTTGTGGCATAGGTTGCTTCCCGCGACCTAAGCGGCGACCGCCTGTCCGCTTAGGACGCTCTCCGCGTTGCCGATTTTTCCAGCTGAGGGTCAGCTGGTGCCTGTCCTCGCCTGTCCGTCGCCTCTGTGACAGGCTTGGTTCTTGTTTGGCGAATTTATTCGGGCGGGGGGCGCGGTGCGAGTGGGGACTGCCCGGCGTTGCGCCGTTAGTGACCCTCGCACCGTCGCTCCCCTGCCCCGCGCAATTTTTTCCAGCTGAGGGTCAGCTGGTGCCTGTCCTCGCCTGTCTTTCGCCTCCTGTGACAGGCTTGGCTCTGTTTGGCGAGTTTATTTCTTTTGTGCACTGTCTCTGGCATGTCTGCCAGACAGTGGGAGCCCGAGCCGAGGGTCGATCCGTGCGGGGAGGGGGCCATAGTGGGCGCTCCGAAAGGAACTCGCGAAGCCCCCTCCCCAAAGCGGCTCTCGCCGAGGCGAGGTCTTTCAGTGCTGGCAGGTCCCGCCCTGCCAGTTGTCTGCACTATGCGGTGGGTCCGTGGAGATCAAAAAAATGTTCGAAAACGTAGCACAATCGTTGAGCAGATGCAAGACAAAATCGCCGATGAAATAACATAGCTGTCGAGCGCTGGAAAAATTGGAAAACATCCCTGCGCGAATGGAATGGAACTGTCGAGCGCTGAAAAGCGACAGCATGTTTTTTAAGAGAACAGCAGAATCGTCCAGCGCTGAAGGTCGAGAGCTTCTGCGAGGAAGCCACAACATCGCCGAGCGCTACACACCAAGTACATCGTCGAGAAAACAGGAACATTGTTGAGACAATCGAGAAGATCGTG